ACTAGCTGATAAACTGCCTAAAAAAGAAACAGAACCAGTGCGATAGTGAAGTCAGAAAAACTATCAGAGATCAAAGAGGACAGAGGAAAAGCTCACACACACACACACACACACACACACACACACACACACTCAGCCTGAATGATCATGTCATGCTCTCTTTCTCTCTCCATTACGTGATTCTCACTCGACGATGAAAAGCTCTTTGGCCTGAACTCAGTGCTCCTCCAGGCCAGGCTAAGTGTGTATTTGTGAGTGTGTGCGGTGTGTGACAGTGACCTGGCTGAGCAGCCTATCAGCAGTCAGGTCGGATGACATCACAATCATTGTGCTGCAGGAGGGCATTTGCTGCTATCAGTGAGCTCCAGAGAGGATGGCTTCCATATAAAACTGCTGTAAATCAGAAGAGCAGATTATTTTGTTTCTAGATCATCATTCGGCTGGTTGTCCGAAGACGCCGGGTCCATAGAGTCAAGTTTGTCATTTTCTTTTCTGCTTTTCTTCTCCTTGCACGAAGAGTAGACCTCAGAAGTGCTCCAAAGTTACAAACTGTCAGTAACGGAAGGACAAAGTTATTACTCACCAATCTGAGAATTACCCAGACACTTTACTCAAGTAGAAGTATCACAATAGTTTAAAAATGCTACACAACAAGGCTTGCACTCAAGAAATAAGTACTGAGTCTGACTGACTCTATCGGTTCTGTCTATTTACTGGGTTGCTATTACTGACTCATGTCTATCAAGTTATGGAAATGAAATTAAATGAATAAATATAGTAAAATGTAGTAGTGCTAAGTGATTCCAGTTCTGCCCGGAGAGAAGCCTGTATGTAATGATGCAGGTAAAACTTGGTCAGGACATTTGATGATATTATTACAAACCAGGAAAAGTTGAAATACCACAATTAACATTTTCTGTCAAAGACATGTAATAATACATGAGTAGAGTAAAAGCTTATATCATAACTTCTGCCAAAAAAACATAAGAAATACCCACAGAAACTGCAACAAAATGAAGAGAATCTACTAAATATGTGCACAGAATCTATGTGGGTAAAAATTCAAAACATGAATTACATAACAGGAGGAGGAGGACTGCATAAGATGGTGAATCAGCCATGAATAATGCATGGATAATTGGAAATTCATGATCCTGATATTAATAAAATTAGCTAGGAAGCCAAATGGAAGTCATGGGTGTGTCACCTGCTGCTTTTCAGCTTCGTCAGGTGAAATTAAGTCTACTAAATTAAAAACATTTCCACATTGCAGATTTCTAGTAAAAATACAGAAAACAGAGTCAAATATCTCAAACCAAAAAAATACTAATGGGACTGTTTATGAGCTGTTGTGCCAACGTGGCTCATTATGTCAGCAGAAGAGAAGGAATATTAGAAAATAACCCTCAGGTTTGAACTTCTCCTGTTGCAAATCATTTTCTGGATCAACAAGTCTGCACTTTCAAGGCAGTGACAAAGTGCAATACTAATTACAATGTTCAATAACAAACTTAAACACACACTCAGCTTTATATTCCTGTATGGTTTACATTAATGTTTAATGAACCAGCTGTGGGGAGTCCTCCACTGCCAAAACTGCATTGTTGTATATCCTGCCTCCTTAAGGAAGAGTTTGATCTTGTTGGATAAAGAAGATAAACGTCACACCCTCATCCACCTATTTCTCAACAAAATGATTTTAGTATATCTACATCTACATACACTAGTGTCTGTCTCTTTTCCTGTGTAAAGTACTTAAATTGTCAGTCCTTCTGTATGTGACCAGTGTGCAAACAAATACGCTCTCTGGCCACTTCTGCTCCTTAACGTAAATATAATCAGCAAATCACTTGGCAGCCATTCAGGTCATGTAGGCATGTGTACATGGTTGAGACGACCTGCTGCAGTTCACCCGGAGCATCAAAATGGACGATAAAGCCGCTTTAACTGACTTTGAATGTGACACAGTCCTTGGTGCCAGATGGGCTGGTCTGAGTTTCTCAGAAACTGCTGATCTGCTGGGATTTTCCCACACAAGCCCCCAGGACAAGCAAGGTGTACCTAATTAAGTGGCGAGTGAACATTTTAAACTGAACCCATCAGTTAAGCTCAGGAAAAACAAAACCACAAATGGAAAAAATGTGTTTTTAGCTTAAAGGGAAAGAGAGCCGTGACTTTTTACACCATGAAGTGTGGATGTGCTGTACTGAGTGTACTTACAGTATTTTTTTTGCGTCAGTGGCAATTAGTGACCACCAGGAGGCAGCATACACACTTGTACCCGCACAAAGACACATTTATACACCCACGAATTCGCTAATTAAATGAGTGAATTCCCATGATCCACTTTCTCAGTACAAATGAAGAGATTAACTCACATGAGACTAATTACATTTACAATATTGCAGCTCCTCTCCTTTCCTCCTTACTCCTCTCCTTCATTTCTTTCCTTTACTTTCACTCTCTTTCTTTCTTGTTTTCTTCAGATCTCTTTGCCTCCTCCATATTCTTTACGTCTTTTCTCTTCTCTTCCTGTAGAAGGTATTCTTTTCTTCTCTTCCCTCTTTCTTCTCTATGTCCGCAGTGTTGCTGCTGAAAACAACAGCAGCACTGTGCGTGTGCTTTTTGTTTAAAGTTTCTAATTTGTTTACTGCTTTAACTAAATGTATTTTGATGATGTTCTGAAAGGGTGAAGGAAGCACTGCGTTTTCCATTTCTCAAAGAGGTGCGGTTATGAATACTCCGTAGAGTTTGTTTTTAATGAATGTTTGATTTTAAGAGAAGATAAAGCTATTTTATAGGGATTATTTGGAGTCAGAATTCATGTGAATGCACTTTGAAAAGTGGGTTTTGTGTTTGGAGTTTATAGAAAGGGGTGAAAGGGAAAGAGTCCTGGTAATTGTAAAAACTGAGTTTCTGATTGGATGCTTCTTACGTACAGTGAAAATGTCAAAATCAACCCTCTGTTTTTTATGAGATCTCGCAAAAGTTGAATTCCAACAATGGCGTCAGCTACTTAGTTGTAATATTACTCTTTCTGGGTCACAAAATACACTTTTAAGATATTTTGAGACGTGAATGTAGCTGTGTAAACGTCATATATCTGCTCGGTTTACAAGACATCACATATTTGCAAAAGTGCTCCAACATTTTCGAGATGTATGAAACTTTTTGCGAGATCCCGAGTTTGTTTTGCGAGATCTCGCAAAAGTCCGTCTTCATTTTTTTTTCTCCCATGTCCCCTGCGGGGCTCCGTAGTTTTTCCTTTTGTCATCTGACTGTGTGTGCGTGAATAAGCTAGCTCTAATTAGCTCTCCTGGGCTAATAAAGGTCACAGTGTTGTGTTGCTCAAACCCCATTCATAATAAGCAGGGAAATAAAGAGTTATTAATAGGCACATATTGAAACAGTGTGTGCATGTTTGTTAGACAGCAAAGGGGTAGAGCAAGTGTTGATGTGTGGTCTTGTGTTGATGTATTCAGCAGTGTATGAATAGATCCTGCTGATGGATTCACACACTCATAGTGCTGTATGGTGATGACAACAGGCTCAGCGGTAGCGACCGGGTACGATCAGCTATGAACCAATGATCTGTGCCTCCCTGACTATATCCTTGACCACTAACCCAAAATAATTCATGACCATGTTGGTGCTAAGACACTGGTAAAAGACTAGTATGACCAGTATAAAGCTGATGCATGCAGTATGGCTGGGCTACACAGCTTAAAAGCTGATTAGTTTATTGACTGCTGTCAGTTTTGGCTTCACCCAATCTACAATGTACCAAACCTGTGTCGCGGTTTCTATCGGTGGTAGGTCCACAGTACACAATAATTATTGTATAATATAATAAATACAGATAGAATAGTGTGTAATGATGTGGATCGTTTTGTGTTGTGTGTCAGAAGAATTAAGGGGGATTGCTGAATGAAAACAGGAGGAGTGATTGTCAGGCCTGCAGGTATCAGGCTGTGATGTTCACCTTTATAGTGGACAGAAATTATTTTTTGGAGTGGCACAAATAATTAGAGTCTTATTGAATGCAGAACAGCTGATTGTTCTGTAAATAGTTTGAAATGGTTATAAAAAAAAGAGTAAAAGGTAAATGGGTGCAAGTAACTTTGTTGTTTGCAAAACTTGTGCATATGATTTTAGAATTGACAATTTATATTTGCATGTAAAGTTATGAAATATGATTCAATAAACATGTTTGTGGTTGTTACAGTAAAAAATATAATTTTTTTCTTCTCGGATTTTATGTTTTTTCGCTGATTTTAGATAAATTGTGTTAATACAGAATGTCAAAATGAAAACATAACTGTAAATTCAGACATGTGAGGTTGTGCTGAAAAGGATGATACCAAACAAGGCAAAGTAAATAGTTTTTAAAGGTGAAATATAGAAGTAAAAGCAAAGTAATTAAAAATTGCCAATTACACCCTGGCCCCATGGTTAAACGTTTTTGTTTTTTTTAAAGTAACACAATAGTTACTATTCAATCAATTAATTACTTTTAGAATCTTGTAACTCAGTTACTAACTCAGTTACTTTTTTGAAGAAGTAACTAGTAACTATAATTAATTACTTTTTCAAAGTAACTTGCCCAACACTGGTCATGATGGCGTTCAGTTGCAGTTTTGTACGTGCACGTGGACAGAGATAATTGCTTATGCGGACACTTTATTTTTTTGGAAACTGTTTGCGTGGACATGATATTTTTGAAAACAGTAGAGGACAAACCCTGTTGTTGGTCAGTAGATAAATAATTTGTTGATTTATTCCTTTCCGTTTTTTTTTTTGTCATGATGCCACAAACTGCGAGCGAGCGAGCAACCCGGTGACACAGAGAGAGACAGACAGAGAGAGAGAAAGAGGGATTTCCACTGAGACACAGGGGCTGTCATCACCGTTCACCATGAATATCATCACCTCAGTGATTCACATACACTGTGCACTCTGTCTCTTTCTCGCTGTGTGTCGGTCGCCCTCCTCTACCCTCACACACGTGTCTCTCCGCGTTCACACAAACAGTCAGGCAGCGAGTCTGCGCTGTTTGGTGTGGGATTTCTCTTGGTTAGTTTTTTATGTTATCAGGGGAGCAGATGATAGGAAAGAGGGAGAGGAGGAGGAGGCTGAGGAGGTGAGACAGCTGTCTTCCTGTACGTAATGTGGAGTAGTTTCATGAGTCGAGGTAGGAAATTCTTATTCTGTTTATTTCTGTTTTAACGCCTCATTGAGACGCTTTGTTCTTTGATGCTATTTTTTTTTAAAGTTCTGTCTGAAATGTTGTTTATGTGGGCACTTAGGTGTTTATGGGAGAACCTGGAGGTTGTGACCTGGATTCACACTTTCAACTGAGGCTGAGTTTTGTCTAAAAAAGGTTGAAAACTGTTACTGTCCAAGAGAAAGACTCAGCTGTTCATCAGAAGATTATTATACATATTTAAGAAGGGTTATGTACACAACTCATTGTCTGGAGCTGGTTTCTAGCATTGCTATTTCAGTACACATAAGTGCACATTTTTATTCAATTGTTTTACCGTATTTGGATTTATTTATTTTTAATCATTTTAAGACACGAATAAAGTTATTACAGGTAACTACAAGAGGGATATTAATGTGTGAAATTTGCATAGCTTCATCTCACAGTTTTCAACAACTTCACTACAGGTAGCACTACAGTGTGTTCAAAGTTGGTACCTACATAAAGCAGGCAGATAAACTGAGTTTTTCATTTCTAATTGGCAGAATTTCCACTCAGGATTTATACTACGTGCAAAAAAAGGGAATAAAAAGGGAATGCACACAAACATATGAAAGTGGACTGTACGCCTGACTTGTACTGACTACCATTGCTCGCTCAGATATGTTTCAGAAATCTCAGTGTATAGATGAACATTTGGGTTCCATATAGTACATGAAGGTTCATAGACATAACTGTGTATCACATAAGAAGAGAGTAAAGCCCACCGACTCTGTGACTGCTTCCTGGCTGTTCTGACATTCCTCTTATAATAGATAGCGTGACTGCTGTGATTACATGCACGCTGCTGCTCATCACCACAGAGCATCGTGTGCTTAGGAGACAAAAACACACACAGTAGATTCCCTTTACCACTGCAAACATGTCTGGTTTGATTTATGCAGATCAACCTTTCTTGGCAGTGTCCACAATCTGTGGACTGCAGTACTGTGCAAAAGTCTTGACTCACCCCTCATTCTTTTATATGTTGCCTCCAAGAAGCCAGACTTGCTTGTAAATTTTTTTTAATGATCTCAAGTAATAGTTCTTCAAGTTTTTTGTGTTTTTCTTTGGACATTAGCTGCTTTCCCCTCTTATTTCCAGTCCAGTCTTTGAACCTGACCATTTTCAGAGAAACAATGACTTACAAATCATTCAAGCATAAAAAAGATGCCTAAATCAAGGGACGAACCACTTTTGTGCTGGTTCATCTTAGCAAAGAACCAATTTTAAATTATATCTTTAAGCACTTTGTTACTAGCAGCCTGTTGCAAAAAAACTAGAATTTATCCAGTTTGACAAGCATGAAATAGCATTTTTGCACCAACAAGATGATTTCCAAAGAGCTATAGCCAAAATCTTGGCATGTCTCATCATGGTATGCATGTGTCCTTTAAAAATGTGAGGAGGCTAGAAAAGTGGAGGATGAAAGAAGATGCAGCATGCCTAAAAAACTATCTACAGCAAATGAACAGTATCTGAAAGTGATGTCCTTAAAGGCTTAGGTTCATAGATTTAAGTCTGTTCTCATTCAAATGAGATATTTCCACCTGAATAAATATTAAATCTGACACCATAATGGTTTCTAAGTTATCTGAGGCCTTTCTCTGTGGCGTGTGGATGTTCTCCCTTCGTGGGTCTCCTCCCACAGTCCAAATACATGCATGCTAGGTTAACTGCTGATTCTAAATTGACTGCAGTTGTGAATGTTTTTGCGTTTTGCATTTTGTCTCCATCTCCATGCATGCAGTAGACTGGTGCCCTGTCCATGGTAAACCCCACCTCCTGCCCTATGGCAACTAGATTTAGCAGGTAATGGTATATATATAGATGTGCTCTGGCGAGGACTCTGAGGTTTACTGCTTATGTTTTATTTAGTTAGCTGCATCGACTGTCCTACTGTAGTGTTTTTATTGCTTTCTAGCCTCTAGCTGAAGTGAAAAGGTGTAATTTGGGAAGTAATACAAGAGTACATCATCGGCTTAACTTCACATTGATATCTGACACCCTTGGTCTCTGGTGGCTGCACTAACAGGTGGGTGATGAAATGGAGATAAAGTGAAGAGTCTGAGGAGTCTGTTTTTTAAGCTGTGTTATAGGGTAGCTTTTGTTGCTTTAGATTTCATTCATGATGTAGATATTAAAGTTTCACAATCTTGTCGCCAACAGTAAAAAATATACTAGAAAAATATTTTTGAGAGGGCTACAGATCATATAAAGAAATACTGTTGCGGCTCATCTCGCAGCTAATTTCAAAGTAAAAGTCTTTTGTCTCGTGGTGTTTCTTTTTAGGGTTGCAGAACATGATAATTCTTAACCTTTTAAGATTTTAATAAAAGTGACCTTTCCCTAGCACTGCCCTCAGGATAAGCTTTACATTTTCAGCCCCCACTATAGAGTCTAAGGAATTTTCTCCTGCAGGTGATTGTGCTGTTATGTTTCTGTCTGTTTCTACTGTTTTCTCTTGAGTGTCAGACGGGAGCTCTCCTGTCTGCTTTCATATTCTTGATTGGTCTGCTCTGGGTGTGTTTGTCTTCTTTTTGGATGAAGAAGGTTCTGAACATGACCTACTTACACACACACACACACACACACACACACACACACACACACACACACACACACACACACACACACACAAGCTTGTTATGCTAATGTTTGTGTTTCTCTGCATAATAATAATGCAGTGTGATGTCTAATGCTGCCGTCAGCAGATCCACACTCTGCCTATGTCCCTCCACAGCTCGTTCTCTGTGGATAAGGAATGTCTAAGATGCAGATGAAGGTAGTGAGACGAGTTCTCCTCCCAAAAGGATCAGTGGTGTATTAATATCCTGATACTTTCAGGCTTCATGTGCAGCTGCAGTGGTTTCAGCTGCAGGGTTTTCTGCAGTGGGAAGCAGGTGATGGATACTGTACTGTAAAGGATGTCCTGAGGCGGAACTCCGCACATAGAGGCTCCACTCGTAGGCTGCTCACCTGAACCTCTTTAGTGACACATGAGTAGAAAGTGGGGGAGCAGGGCAGGCAGGTTTAGGACCTAAGGATGCAGGATACGGGACTTCTGAGTAGAACTGAAAGCAAACCTTTATTGCGGGCTGATCTCTAATAAAAAATTCCTAAGTAATCCAACAAGAAACAGAACCAGGGAGAAAAAAACATCCCAGAAAACAGGAAACGCATACCTTAAATATACACATGAGGTAAGAGCAGAGTGGAGACGCCTGGGGAACACAGCTGAACAGAATCCAACTAATGAGTCAAGGGAAGCAACAGTGAACGTAACACACATGGGATGAGAGACTATCAAAATAAGAAAACCAACAAACACAGAGACAGAAACCCTGGCTGCTACTAATGATGACATTCATAGCTGTTAAGCAAATATAGAAGTCGTGTGTCATGGTTGGTACATACATACCATAACATAACATAAAACATTATGACTTCATTGTTTTCATAATTACCAACAGCTTCAAAATTAAGTCACAACTGCTGCAAACAAACCAATAGATATTGATTGAACAGACAATATAAAATCCTTTAATATCAGTAATCTGTATTTGCCTACTGCCTCAGATGAAAATGTCTGTTATGTAGAATGCCTGTGTTAGATGAGCGCAAGAAATTGTTTGTTCAACAGGACATCATTTGTTCCAGTGCAGGCTGTCACTAACATATACACATATACATGATAAACAGTTGGGAGTGGTGGGACACAACGCCCATGATGGAGTTTTGAATTAACGGGCTGGTATTTACAGTTATGTTGCTAACTTTTTAGACAAAGACACATTTCTGTAATTTTACATCTGTACACCACCACAGTGGATTTTAAACTAGACAGCTACTTTCAGCTTTAATTTAGTAAATTGAACAAAAATACCGCAGTAACTGTTTAGGAATCACAGCCACTTTTAGACGTAGACGTGTTTTCAAAGGCTAAAAAAGTAATCAGACAAATAAAGCCACTTCACTGGTGCACAGAAACAAAATTGCAGAAGTCGTGTTATTGTCTAAGAAGTTACAGATCTAACTGTATTCAGTGGTTTTCTACTGTAACTGAGCACCTAAGGCCCTACTAGCTGCATCAATGCGCTGCTTTATTCTATGCCTTTAAGCACCTTCTAATTATCACAAACATACTCAAACTCTGATGGATGCTTTGGGAGCAATTTGGAGTTCAGTGTCTTATCCAAGGACACTTTGACGTGCAGACTGGAGGATTGAACCACTGACCTTCTGCTAAGTAGAGGACCTGCTGTGCCTCCTGAGCATTTTTGCACTGGTGGGGTATCCTTTAACTGCGATGCTTTTCCCCCCCCCCGAATTTTCCATTTCTGTTGGGAACGTCGCTAAAACTTTCCCACTCCAAAGTAAACTTGAATGAGCCAGCATTTCTTTTATCTAAATAACAACATATCAAACACATGGTTACTTTTACTCATTGCTTCCGCTGCTGTCGTTATTTTGATGTCGTCACATGAGCTTTTGCTGTGTCTGCACAGGTAGCCGATAGCCTGGCAGCAGATTCCCAGTTTCTTTTGCGCTACTGCAGCTAAAATATTTGAGTTTCTAAAAACGCCATAAGCCCTTATTCCATTTTAAGTTAGCAAAGGGACTTGCTTTTTGTCACCAGATGGGGAGTCGGGTGATTTCAGTGTGACTGTGTAAAAAGATTTATGTCCACACAACATGAGTAATATACACTCACGCAGACACACACGCACATACCCGTGGTAACCGTAGACGTGTGAACCGGCAACTGCTCTGATCTTATCTCACACACACACACATGCACACACAGCAGTGACTGCAGCGGGGTAATGTAATCTTTAATCCTCTGGTATAATCTGTAAGTAGTGTGTGTGGTCGTCTTTTCTTTCTCTCTCTCCCTCGCTCTCTCGCTCTCATCCCCAGGGATAGAGTTACTTGTCTCTAGAGGAAAT